TTGATTCTATTTTTATTTCACATACGTAAAAGCAGCTTATAATTGTACTGAATACAAAGTACAAACAAACAAGTAAACACACTTTATTGCACATAAAAATCTTTCACAGGAAGTATTGCACCTGATAGACTTGATTAGGAACGTCACAGACTTATTACCAGATAAAACTAGTATTCCAGGTTTGAACAATATAGAATATTTCATAATATTCGGTGGCAAATCTCATATTGCACATTTTCTAACATTTTTTTTATCTGTTTTACAAATATTACTCATATTCTTTGCTTTTGTCTTTTCTCTGCAAAACATTGTGTAGAAGGTTAAAAGGCAAAGAAATACCTACCATTGAAAAAGACCAGACAACTATTGAGGAAGTAACAACAACAAAAACACAGGATCATCCCATTCTTTGGGGGGAAAAAAGACAAAGTTACTTGGCAAATTTCTCTTAACAGAGCTTAGTTTCATAAGCATTTGCCCATTCATAAGTGATCTCTAACAGCATCATCTAATCTTTCACATAGTGCAGGTGCAGGAAGGGCACTCACTTAGGCAGTCATTCAACAATAAATAATAAGCAAAAACCTAGCTATTTTATTATTTCTGATTTTAAAATATATATAAAGTGCATCTGAAAGGTTTTATAGTCATTCTCCTTTCGGGGGGTCATGATTATCAGTCAACCTCTGGCATTTTCAGCTCATGTCAGAAAGAGTCCACAATGCAGATTTTCCTGGAATTTCTCTCTCTTTTTTTCCAGTCATGTTTGGAACAAGGTTTCCAAGATAATATAAAGTTTTTAAGGAAAAATTCTGACCACAGAACAGCATCTGTTGACACGACGTTTCTTTAGTTTCGTGTTAGAACAGTTTGTAAGTAAGTAAATATGTTTCCTCTTTATTAGTAGGGTTTGCTGCATATCCAGTGTAAGTTCTTTTTACATTCTGTACTGCTGACCTCTGTGCTGTTCAGAAATGCACAGTCCGCAGACCCTGTAAAGTTGAGCCTGTCAAACAAGAAAGAAACAGAATTATTTTCAGTTCATTTCCATTCAGTTACATTACAGTAAACTTTGTGGTGGTGATAATCTCTTTTTTTCTTTTTCTTTTCCTTTTCTTGCTTAGTAAGAAGTATAAGGCAAATCTGCCAGTCGAATAATCACAGATTACTCTGCAGAGACAGTAGGCACGGATTGAAAGGCATAGTATGTGGAGAAAAGATATACAGCTAAGATTCAAGTGCTTCATTCATTTGGTTGGCATGTCACCAAAGGAGTGCTTCTTGGTCATTTTTTAGTTCATTGATCATTCAAGAAACACTTCCCAAAAATTATATACATTCAACATTCAATCCTACTGGTGCATACAATTTTGGAGAGTTTATGGCCCCTGAAGCCCATCCATGGATATGGGAATGTAAATTACATATTTAGAATCCCTTTTCTAGGAATTTGAATTTTAATCTTGATCCCATATCAGTAATTATCATAAAACTATTAAGACACCTAAAAATTTATTCAACTTTGAGTTTTCAGATAGCAAAGATCAACACCAAACTTACAAAATGTCCTTCCAACTTTAAAATGTAGTTTACTTATAGGTAAAGATAATAGAGCCAGTATCCGTATTGTGTGGCAAGTTTTTTCTCAGATTTATAGAAACTCATAATTAGGCATTGAAAATATTGTTCTTTATCCCTCTAGAGATTAAAAAAAACCTGGGAAATCGTAAGAGGGAAGCATTTCCAGCAACTATCTTATCAGTAAAATATAAATGAGATAGAGAATGTTGGATTTTTTTTTTTTTGTCTTTTTTTTTTTCCGTTTCCGGCAACGG